ACATTTGTTAGAATGAATGAATGCATTCTTATTCGATAATAATGCCGCTTTGAAGCAATGAGTTCTTACCCCGTTTCATGAAATTTCCTCTTTGGGAGTACTCTTTCCAGTCACATTGTTTACCTACGTGAGAAACTTCACAGACATTGATGACAAGGTCAGATTAAACATTAAGCCATTGTTTTTTAGCCTGATTCTGCAGATAACGAAGAAGGATGGGTGGTTATTTGCTGATAACTTTTGGTTGATTAGTTAAGTAAGAATTTACCCTCAGTTATAGTAGAGTCCGGACTTCGGAGGTCAAGTAACAATTAGGAACAGATAGCTTGACTGGTACCCTTATTCCATAGTGAATTTATGTTCTATGATTAAGCATTAGTATTCGCTGGCTGCATTCTGCAGCATGGTGGGTGCTGCTATTTTATAGCCCTCCCGATGTGTAGTGTAGTTGTCCCTCTTATTTAATGATGCAATTCACCGCGATTTGCTTTTGTCCTGTTTTCATTTGTTTCTTCTTTTTGTCTGTCTTGGTACGCAGTTATCACACTGCTGATGGATCTCTAGCTCCTTGAATCCTTTCTGTTACCTTTAGTTCCTAACTGATTAGTAAATTTTCATCACTTTGATCAAAAGGGAAACCTTTTTTAGGTTTTGAAATAAGACTCTAACTGGCATTTTGTCCTAGTTCCTATACTGTCTTCTGCTCCTTTCAATTGCTTCTTTTTGAAAACAAACCTCTAGCATTGTAAGAGTTGTTAGTTATAACGTAATGGTGGGTGATGGATATAGCCTGTAGTTAACCCCAGCTAATCTTTGAAATGGATTAATGGGTGATTGATGACACGTTTGAAATCCCTCCATCAGCCATCTTATTTATCCCTTTCTTCAAAGCAGGTGTAGAGTTCATCTAACTAGTTAATGACACGAAATTGAGTTTGATTTTTAAGCCAACCCAGTATGCTTTGGACAAGTCTGCTTTTGCAGTTTCGTTATTTTATTTCTGCACAGACAAACATATATATATATAGATAAGATTATATTGCCATCTTCTTGTTCTCATTTGCTCTTTTATTGTTTTAGGCTGAGTGTGATGATATTGGAATGGATTCCTCAAGTGGGGAAGAGATGGAAGTCGAAATGGATGCAAGTACGAGCAAGGTGGCTGCTAGTGATCATACTGGTTCAGCTTCGACTCACATTAATTCACCAATGCCAAAAGGGAGGAGGCTTACATCAAAAGTTTGGGTCCAATTCAGAAGGTATAAGAAGGACGGTTTATTAAGTCATCATGCATCAAATGCGGGAAGACTTATGCATCTAAATCACGTAACAATGGAACTAGTGCACTCCGCCATCATATGAGTAAACCGTGCGGTGATGGAAAAGGTACTGCTCAACAACTATTGAATACTCTTAGAGCTGAACTAGGTGAGGGGGATGAATCTATGTTAGGCAGTTGGAAGTTTGATCAAGCAGCTATAAGGAAAGGATTGACTTATATGATCGTTGTGGATGAATTGCCTTTCAGATTTGTTGAATACTTGGGTTTCAAATACTTTATGTCACTTGC